GGGGTGGGGGTGGGCGGTCCTTGTCAGTGGCCTGAGAAAATGTCTGCAAATGTTGCTCTTGAAAACTCCCAAGGGGAATCATTCAGTCAAGCGGAGGAGGTGCAGGGTCAGGGTCTGAAGTTGGGTCAGATGGTGCCCCAGCCCTCCTCTCCGTGTGGCCTCCCAGGGCTTCACACCAGCAGGGTGGCCTGCAGGGAGGTTGGTGTTACTAGAGAGACCCGGTCACGTGGCAGGCGCCTGCCCAAGGGCTCTGCCAGCTCTGAGCCGCCGGGCCCCGCGATGCTCACTCATGGTTGTCACCCGAGGGTGACCGGAGCCTGCTCTCTTGGGCTGCCTCGCGCTGGATGTGGGAGTGGAGGGAGCTCTAAGTGGCCTCCAGGGCCCCCGGGCTCAGAGCTGGGGCGGCCGGGACCCTGCATGGCACATGGGGAAATTCAAGGACCGGCCCCCCGGTGCCCAACCCCTCGCCAGGGTCTCCCTCCCGAGACAGGCTTGCTTGTGGCCGAGATCCAGAGATGCTGCCCTGTGGGTTCTGCGTGCTCACGGAGGCCTCCCATCGTACGACTTTATTTTTTAACCAAGCCGCTTTTAGTCTGGAAGGAAAACCTTTTAAAAAGCTAGCACGCGGAGCTCTGTATTGAAAAGGAGGAGCTAAAGGGTAACAAAGGGAAAACAGTAAGAGGCAGGGGGGGGTTCGACCCCAGCAAGGCTGCCTGTCTCCACGGGGGTAAACCGAGGCAGGCCTGGACCACCAGGGAGACAGCAGCACAGCTGAGGGAGAACACAGTGCCGCGTCTGGCTCCCAGTCTGGCCTGCAGCCTCCCGACCATGCCTGCTGCTCTGGCTTCCCGCCGGAGATCCCAGAGCCCGTCCCCCTGCAGCTCGGAGGATGCTGCGGGCGGGGATGGAGACCGCAAGGCCTGGCCCACCGCAGGGTGGGGGTCCTGGACGGGCTTGTTTCCACCTTTGGGCCGAGCTCGTGCGTGTTCTAACCCAGCCCCTGTGGTCTCTGCTTTCTCTTACAGAATACAAGGTAAGAGGGGCCGCCCGCTCCCGCGCTGACCTCCAGCTGCCGAGCTGCACCTGCCCAGGTTAAAAGTTCCTTTTGTTGTGTTTTCCCTGTGAAATGTGTGTGTCAGAGGCAGACGCAAGTATGTACCTCTCCGCTGGCCTCGGGCTCGGCTCTTTTGTCCCCGCACATGCTTGCTTCCTGGGTGAACCCGGACTTTCTTCTCCCCGCAGATCTATCCTTATGACGCCCTCATCGTCACAAACCGAATCCGCGTGAAGCTGCCCAAAGACGTGGACCGGACGAGACTGGAGGTGAGAGGGCCCCCAGGGGTGGAGGGTCACGTCTGCCGAGCGAGTCTCTGCAGGTGCCTTGACATCCACAAAGTCGACGTTCATCGCCCCCAAGGTCCCCGTGGCGACCGCACAGTGCCCGGCGATGGGCTTGGAGTCAAGGTCCCTCGTTGTTTCAAAGACCAGAGAACGTGGTCATGTACCCAGCAAAGGTGGCTGTGCAAAGGGGGGCACAGCTGCCTGCGGTTTGGGGCAGGAAAGCCTTCGTCACTGTGCTTAACTGGGTAACATTCGCCTCTTCCCTGAGCGCTGATATTCAGAAAATCGGCCCAATTCATGGCTTCTCGTTTGACCACACTCACCCTGGTCTTGAATAATACTGAGCTCTGGGAGCAAGTGTGTGTTTACAGGACCCTCAGGTGAAGGGCACAGACATCTGTTGGCCGGGCCCCACCACGAGCCACGGTCCCAAGTGGCCAGAGTGCGTACTTAATCCATCCTCACTGTCTTCCCACGAGGAAATCAATGGCCAGCAATGGACTTCACCTCCCGAGCCATGTCAGGAAGGTTTCACTGGGGTGAGGGGTCTGGAGGCTCCTGAAGGCCTAGGGCCACCTGCCCCACCTGTGCCCCGGGGCTGGGAACACCTGAAGCAGAGTGTGTGTCCGGCCAGTGCCAGCCCCTGCCCTGCTGCCTCTGTGGGCGGGGCCTCAGGTGGCTGCTGGGAGGGAGCCGTAGGGGCGTGGATGTGGCTGAGGGGCACCAGCAGTGCCCCAGGGCTCAGGAGGGCTGCCAGGTGGGAGCCAATCTGTAAAGAAACGCGGTCTCAGGTGGTCCAGACAGTTGCTTTGGAGCCCTGATCTCCACCCTTTGAGATGAGGATGGATATTGATACACACTAGGTGGGTGGCTGTACCCACGAGAGGTCACATAAAGCCCCTCGCCCAGGGTACGGGGTAGTGGTGGCAAGGAGGGGACAGGGACGCTAGTGTGGCTGCAGCAGTCGGGGGAGGCGTGTCCATTTTGACTTCTCTGTTGCAATAGTAGGATCTTGGCCCAAAGTGGTTTAAGCTAAAAGGGAATTGCCGGCTCCTACGACGGACAGGTCCCTTCGGGTGGGGCTTAATCATGTCTCCAGACCCAGGTTCCCTCCTTCCATCTCTTGAATGTTTCCTCTGTGTGTGTTGGCCTGACTGATGGACAGACGTTCACCTCCCCTCCCCCGGGCTCAGCGTCTGCAGGGAAGAGACTTGGGGTTGGGGGGGGGGCTCCTAGAGGGGGCTCTGAGACCTGGGACCTAGAGACAGGGAGGGTGATGCTGGGCTCACAGCAGCAGCAAGGGCTTGGCTGCAGGGAGGTGGGGAGCTGCAGCAGAGCCGGCAAGCCCATGGATGCTGTGGTCAGGCAGTGCAATCCACCCGCTGCCGTCTTGGAGTCCCCAGGGTGTGGGCGGCATCTTGCCAGCAAAGGACCGCAGAGCCGAATGACCCCAGGGCCTTTGCTCAGGAGGCTGGCCACTTAGCAGGGCATTTGGACCTCACCCCGTAGAAGACGAAGGGCGACTGGAATGTTCTGACCTGTTAGGACGAGTGTGAGTGCGGGTCATTCCCGGGGCTGGGGGCGGGGCAGCGGGACCGGCTAGGAAGCTGGGGTGTGAGTGGGGGGCAGGGAGAGCACGTGGAGGTGCTCCGAGAGCAGGACTTAAGGGATGGCTGCCCTGTGATCTGGAAGACGAGGTCCTAGGCAGCCTCTTCCGGGGCCTCACCCGTGGCAATCCCCGCTGCCTCTGCAGGCGACACACTCTTTGGCTCCAGCTCAAGCTGAGCCCTTGTTGAGGGTGTGGTCTTGTCCTACTGCTGTAAACCAGGAGGCTGTCGCTGCTGGGTGACTCAGTCAGGACCCGCCTGAAGGGGTCCCACTGTTCTGCATGTTTGTTCCTTAAGCGTGGGTGCCCTGAGGGCTCCTGGCTCCCACCGCGGGGCGGGGGCGGGGGCGGGGGGGGGGCGGCTGGGGGGGCGGTGCCTGCCGCTCAGCTCCTGATGCAGCAGCAGCCTTGCTTCCCTCTTGGGTCTGGGGTTCGCTTTAACCAGCTCCCATACCCCAACCCTTATTTTGCTACAGTACAGAGTGACGGTGCAAAATATCAAGTGGTTAATACATGTAAATGTTTCCCTTTTTAAAAAAAAAAACCTTGGAGGACGGGGGTAATGGGTTTCATCACCCAAATCTGCAAGAACACACCCAAGGGTGCGTCTCTCTGTAATCATTCTCTTCCTGATCTCAGGCAAGCCAGGAGGCAAATTGGAAGGTTATCACACACGGGCACGTCCCACAGCCTTCAGGGTTTGGAGCTGGGGTGTGAGCCAGGAGGGGCTCACGAGGGGCTACATCCCAGCAGGAGAGGAAAGGACACCGATGTTTTTATTTCAGGGGAGAGAGCTTTATTTTTAATATAAAAACAATTCATAACTCTTGTAAAAGTCCAGAAAAACACAAAGAACGTAAACATTACATGGAATTCCCCTACCGAGTCAAGACTCCTGTTAGCTCCGGGGCGGACATGCTTCCGGAAATCTCTTTTTTTGCACAAATACCCAGAGATAACTGAATTCTCTTTTGGATAAGTAGCCTTGTACTGTTTGTGCAGTTTGACATCTGCTTTTTCTCTCTTAAATTTTATGTGAACATTTTCCCATGTCATTTCATGGGGATCTGCCCGTCCTTTTAGATGGCTGCATGGTGGTCCCGCATCCCGTTCTGAGGCCGAAAACTGTATGTCCCAACCTGGGTGGATTTGATGAGGAGTTTTCTAGCAATGGTTCAAGCGGG